TAGCTGGCTTAAAAATGTGGACCATCAGCCGGTCTTTATAGCGAACCGAACTAAGGAAATTAGGACTTTATCTAATTGCGAGTTTCGCTACGTCAATACAACGGAAAACCCGGCAGACCTAGTTACACGGGGAAAATCTCCCTCAGAACTACAATCCAACCATCTCTGGTGGCACGGCCCCACTTGGCTCTCAAAACCCGAAATTGAGTGGCCCACTGGATTAAGTCTTGAGTTCAATACAACCGACTCTACCGAGGAGACGGCATTCACCAACACCATAGTCAATATCGAGGGAAAGACAGAAACACCCAAAGCGGATGACTTGATCGACTTTAAGCGATTTAATTCATGGGATAAAATTAGACGAACTACCATTTGGGTCCTTCGATTTTTACAATCCACATTCATTAAAATTGGCCGCGAACCTTCTTGGCTTATAAAAAATCGCCGCCCAGATCTTCTCTCTATTTCTCAAGCGACTAGCAGAGAAAAAACTGCATTCTCCGCAAATGATTATCTAATCGCAGGCTGCCTTCTTATAAAGATTGCGCAACAGCAAAATATAACCGAGATCGAGCGCTACCCACTGGAAACCGGCCAAAATGGTTTACTTCTTCTAAAGACGCGAATTGCGCAACAAATCGAGTGCCCAACATTAGCTCGCCTTATTATTTTGCCTCGCACTTCTCATCTAAAATTTCTCATCATTTCTGACATTCACCAAGAATTAACTCATGGAGGGATAGACATTACTCTAACCGAATTTCTTTTTAAATATTGGACGCCCAATGCCCGAAAAACAGTCAAAACAATAATCCGAACCTGTCTGAAATGCGAGAGAATGCGCGCTTATAAATATGCTTTACCTCATTTTCCACCTTATCCTAAAGATCGTGTTTTTAGAAAAATGATTTTTGAGTCCGTAGGACTCGACTATGCCGGACCATCTTCTGTCCGAATTAATGGAATTATTACAAAATTTTATTTATTATTATTTTGTTGCTTAACGACACGTGCTATTCATTTGGAAATCACCTTAAGCCAATCAGCCGAGGCCTTTATGAATGCTTTTCAACGTTTCATTTCTCGTCGAGGAAAACCAAAGCGTGTCATCAGTGACAATGCTCCTTCCTTTATTTTGGCCGACAAAACAATCGACTTTCTCATCAATGAGCCTTCCAACGAACTAGCAAAGAAAGGCATCGATTGGACCTTCATTCCTGCTTATAGTCCCTGGGCTGGAGGAATGTATGAGCGCCTCATCGGGATCACCAAGCAACTCTTCCAACGTACACTCGGCAAGGAAATACTCCACTTCGACGACCTCATCACCTTCACAGCCAAGGTAGAGGCAACACTCAATCTTCGTCCAATCTCAACTGTTTCGGACGAGAAGGATGGATTCCTTCCTTTACGACCCGCCGATCTTCTCATTCCAAAGATCGAACTCAACCTACCGACTGACCGACTTTTAGAGGACATCCCTTTCCGTCCCGAATCACATGCAAAATTAGCCGAAATTTACATAGCCACCGATAGGGCTCACGAATTCTTCTGGGAAAGATGGAGTAAAGAGTACCTTCTTATACTACGGTCCAGGACTCAAACAGCCCACAAAGGGAAACGACTGGAAAACCATTCCGCCCCTAGGATTGGAGAAATCGTGATTGTAGAGGAAAAATATACTCCAAGGAATTTATGGCCCATGGGACGTATCGTCAAATTAGGAGGGAAGCCTGGAGCAACCAGGAGTGTTGAGATTAAAATGCAAAATGGGAACACTGTCACGCGCCCAGTCAATAGCGTGTGCCCGCTTGAGATAGAACCAACCGAACAGAAGACTATTATCCCACCTCAAGTCGAGCCAGCTACCGAAAAACCTCAGGAAACTTCGTCGCGAGTTCCAGCGACTAAAACCGGACACCGTATGATAACGAGGAGCAAATCGAGAGCACTCGTGTCTACCCTACTAAACCTGGCATTATTTATTTTCTGTTTTGCATCCATCTACGGATCGCCTATAAATAACATGACATGCCCAAAATGTCAAATTTCCTGCACTAGGACCGGAGTCACAGTAATCAGCCCCCGTGAATTCGCCAATTTAGAATTATGCTGCGCCGGCAACTGTTTAATAAAACCACACGCTCCTCAAGTCGACTATGAATTGCCACACGAGCTTTTAGTCATAGACTACCACTGCCAGATTACCTTAGCGGACAACCAAAATAGAATCTATCAAAAAGAAAAAACCTGCCTCGCTCAGGATGAATGCAGCTTAATAGACTGTACAATATGTTGGGACCGTATAGCCAACCCTGCATGCGCTCCCGTAAATTCTGGAATCCTAATAGGATCGGGATTGCTCTTCATCCTACTTTTTCTTTCTTGGATTACCACACACGTTAAAATAGTACTCGCTTCACTTCAATTCGTTTTCTCAATCTTTTTCGCGTTATTTCAAATTCCAATCCGTGCTATGCGATTCTCTCTTCGCAACCAAAATGACGGGGAAGAATATTTACTATCAGATTATAATTCAATGAGAATCCACAGAGACAGAAATAGGCGATGGAGAATCAATATGCCATACCGCAGCAACGGGCATTCAGACGAACGGTATGCTCGCCGCTAGTGGCCGGCGCCCCAGTGTCGCCGAAGCGACGTCTGCGATGAAATTAATAAATTTAAATATTCTTGATTAATTATTTGGTGACCTTTTGCACCGTCTATTTTTTTAATCGTTTGTCTTTTGCCCGATAACTTTAATGTTAGCCACACCCTTTTGTGCTAACCCCATTTCTGATCGCTTCTCCATTAGCTTAATCATTTTATTTATTTATAAGTTTTAAGCTATTTTTAGCTTTTGTGTCTCTGTATTTTCTCCTTCATTTAATCATTTTTTCCCCACCTGCATTTATTTATTTTTTACTTAGGTTTTGGCCTTTAAATTATTTTCATCTTTACATTCAATTTACTTTCTGGCCAAACTTAAGTCTATTATTTTTCACCTAATTCCTAAATATTTCTAATTAGGTTTCTTCAATTTATTCTAAATTTTAACTCTTTAGGCCTCGCATCATTTAATTCTAACTTATCTAAAACTGAGGCCTAAAGACCACCTTTTTTACCAAGTTTAAGGCCATTTTCAATTAATCACTTTTTAATCATTCTATGGCCTATAATCATTTTACTCTTTTTCACCCATTTTCGTTTGTTCGGTTTAATTACCCAAGTTTAAGGTTCTCGTAAATAAATATTTTAATTTGTGTATTCTTTCTTTGCTTATTTGGTATTCCGACAATTGCCGCCCTTAGGCATTATTATTAGCTCGCCAATAGAGCTTTGGTTCCGTCCACTCGCCCTAGAGAGTTGGACCACATTTTTGGAGAATTAAGGGACTTCCCGGGACAATCTAATTCAATTCCCGACAGTGCGGTTTCACACCTTGTCGCGCCGCACACCGAATTTTCTTCAGCGACAAGATACTAGTGTTTCACCGGAACCGAATTTTGACAGGAATCGGATCCAATTTGAGTTCCGGTTCCCGTAACCAGAACCAGGAAAACACCGGAACTTTCCGGAACTTCCGGTGAAATTCTAGTACATACCTATTTTATTTTTTTTATTATCCAAAAATTCACCACAAGGACTCAACATTGTTGACCGTTGAGATCCACATTATTTATCTTTTTTGAATTGTATTCTTTTTGGAGTTGGATAAATTGAAACTATTTTTTATTTTTTTTTGTATTGAATCTAGTTTATATATTTACTTAGTTATATGATTTTTAGGGTTGCCGTTTTCGAGTCGGGCCGACGGTCGAGTCATTTTTTTCGGGCTTCATTTTTATCGAGTCGGGTCAAACGAGTCTTTTTCGGGCCTCATTTTTATCGAGTCGGGTCATACGAGTCTTTTTCGGGCCTCATTTTTATCGAGTCGGGTCATACGAGTCTTTTTCGGGCATAATTTTTATCGAGTCGGGCATCGAGACTTTTTCGGGCCTTTTTTCAAAAAGATTTATTCAAAAAAACAAAAATAATTTTGCTTATTTGTCATCAAAAATAAATCATATTAACATTGTTTTTCATAATCTTCTTCACTAGGGTTGTTCCCCGACGGGGGGGGGAGGGCCACGGGGATCTTTTTTTACGCCTTCTTCATTTTTTGCGCCGCAGGCGAAAATTTTGAGGATTTTGGAGCTCAAGAAGCCAGATTTCTTCCATTTTTTGCGCCGCAGGCGAAAATTTTGGGAATTTTGGAGGTCCTTAAGCCAGATTTCTTCCATTTTTTGCGCTAAAGCTGAAAAATCTAGAGTTTTGAATTTCAAAAAATAATATCAAAGGTTTAAAATCGTCCCTTGTATTAAAAAAAGTTAAAATAATCTGAAAATAAGTCTCAAACGATGATTAGTACTCGAATCCAACAATCCTTTAAATAAAATCCAGCGCCTTAACCACTCAACTAACCGCTCATTTAATTAGTTCTGAAAGAAATTGATTTTTATACTGGCTAGCAAAACAAAACAGTTACAGCCTTAGGAAACATTCAGTAAATAAAATAATAGTTAAACACATTTTAGAAAACATTTCCTTGATATCATAAACAAATTCAATTTTAAGCCATTAAGTAAACAACTAAATAATCAAAACGTTCTGGAAGTCTATAGGATTTTGGAATTTTTCCAGTTACTTGGAAAATTTTAGGTTCTAATATCGGTTCTCAGTTAACTGGAGAGTTCCCAAGAACTGCCAACTGATAATAAATAGCATAGAGGAGTAAGCTGAATTTAAAATTAAATTTTAATCAAGAAAATTCTTTATACAAGAAGTCGAATTTTAATGAAAAAAAAAGTTTGTTTTCTTCAATTTATTCCGAAAATTTATTTATTTTTGACAATATATAGAGTATTTTAAACACAATTTTTTGTTCAAATTAATTTGTTCATATTCCATTTCTCTACCGTTTCTTATTTATATTTCTTCTTTTCGTTTATTGTTCAACACGTTAGCTGCTTGAAGTTATCACAAGATGTACAAGCAACTAATTAAAATAAATTTAAAAAATTTTTTAAATAAATATGTCGGTATTAACGTGGGATAGGTTAAAAAATAAATCTAACCAAAAAATTAGTTTACCCCCCCCCCCCCATCCCACAGATGGTATCAACTCCCCAGGGGAATTTTCAACTCCCCAGGGGAAAAGTACGATACCGTATATCCTTTAATAACCACCCTGGGTAATTATTGTTTCGACCTGCTGGCTGGAGTAATTAATCGAGGGAGGGTAATTATACTAGGTTTGAAATTTTGAACGTGTTTTAGGGCATTTGTTTGGGGGTAATTATTGTTTCAATCTATCGCTGGATGGGGTAATTAATGGAATTGGAGTAATTATTTGAGGGAGGGCATTTAATACATGTTATACGGTAGACCAAGCTCAAATAAAAAAAAACTTTTAATTCGAGAGTCGACTAGCATATTTAAAAACTTTTTACCAGAAAGCTCTTTCCCATTAAGATATGATTTTGTGCCTGGAGTTAATTCCATGAATTTTGGGGCACTAGTCTTTGGATCAAAATGATGGTTATCAGGTGACGATAGTGAAACTGAACCAACATTTGGATTAACAAACATGCTGCCACCTTGAATAATTTTTTATTTATTTCCTCAATGGTGTTGCGACAATTGCGAATAAATTTATAAATGGAACCGGAAATCGTTCGGAAACCGTCAAAGTGCGCGCCGGCACTCTGAAACAGACTAGAGATCGGAATTTTTGACAAGCCTGGACCTGTTCCTGGACTCTGGGTTTGATTTGTTGACCTTGACTGGATCCTGGGCTGTAGTCCAGGATCAAATCCAGGCCCAGGAAAAACCCCAGGAAGATCAAAAATGCCTGGGCCTGGACTCTGGGTATAGGAAAAACCCAGGTTCTGGTCCAGACCCAGGCCTATCTCTATAATCGACGGATACTTTAATCATTTTTTATTTTTTATATCCACAATTTTCGCAACTCCTCAAAAGTAAAATATTAATTTATTTACTATGAGAATAGAACATATAGTCTAAAGATCCAGGATTAACAGTTTTTGCAAAGTAGCATTGTTTATCAACATTACCACAAATACAAATATTTGTGGGGCAAACAATTTTAAAAACGCTAATATTTGAATCATCATTTGGGTAGCAACGCTAAGAAATTTTGAAAATTTTTAAAAATTCCAAAAAAATTTTTTTTACTTTTGCAGTATTCTTGTTGGAACAAGTTTTGTTATAATAGCTATTTGCTTTGATTTCCGGTATGTTACCGAGCTGGTTGGACAAGAAGGTTACCGCGCCTTCACCATCCTTGCAGTCTGTACTTGCTTCTAAATTGGTGTTTAAAAGTATTTCTTGATTAAATTTAAATATCCCCCCCCCCTCCGTGGATATAATCCAACTAAACCGGTGCTCTAGATTGAGAACGTATAACGAATCTTGGTTGTGGCACAATCTGACCTCAATTATAAGGTACACCCTTGAGTGTAAAAAAACGTCTTATAATGAAGTCTCTATCTCCCCTACCCCCCCCCCCCCCCATATCTCTAAGGCTCTAAGGCAGACCCACTATCTATAAATCAGACCCCCTCCCCTCTACCCCTCGGTGGCCAACCAAAACTTAAATAAACGATCTTAGGCAAATGTAAATCTGGATGTCTATTTGTCCGCAAAGAAAATCCTCTCTTTTTTCCTTTTCTTGCATTTTTTGCGTTGGAAGAGGTGCTCTCTCATTTTTCATTTTCCTTATTAGTAGGACCCTTTGGTGTACTTTGGAGTGATGTCGGGTATCCCGACTTCCTAATCGGGAAATTTTCCCGAGTTTTTGGCCTCCCGATCCCGACTCCCAAGGTCATTTCCTAACCCGAACCCGTTTCCCGGTTTCCGAATTTTTTCTGCTCCCGAACATCATAATACTTTGGATAAGCCAAAAAAGGAAAGAAAATGGCGGATTCTTTTTGCGGACAGGTTGACAGCCAACTTCGGACAGCCCTGGCCACTACCTTAACTTGAGGTTTATCTAATTTTGGGTTCATCTTATAATTAAGTTTTTTAATTAATTAATTAATTAATTTAACCATTAAATTCGGCAGCCAATAAGAATACAATTAAGGAAATAAAAATCATATTTTATTAAAATTAATTTATGATTATTTATTTTTTTTTGAATTTTTGAATAAAATACCTTTTGCCCAAGGAGTATTTATTCGCCTATAAAGACAAACAAAATAAATTTTTAAAATTGCCAAAAAAAATTTTTTTATTAAATCTGAACAAATGAAAGGAGAGAAGACAGAATATTTTATTAAGTGTCCACGAGATCAACTTCTTGGTGATCAACTGCTTAAAGGATCTGTTAGTTAAGGTGCTAGTTAAGGTGCTAGGCTTTGAGTTTTTCTGTGTGTTAATAATCAACCAGTATATTTTTAGTCTTCAACAATTCTGTACAGTAGAAGCTCTTATAAAATGACCGGCCGCTCTATTTATCCATAATTCCCTAGAAAGTCCCTCAAAATCAACTTTCAGAGAGGCAATTCAATTGAGGATTTAACAGTATTTCTATATTGTAATTAAAAACTTTTGTTAGTTATAAGCAGTGTTTGGAATTTTGAAGTTTGCTCGTACTCGTACTTCCATACAAGCCTTATTTTTTTCTCGTACACGTTTCCTTTCCTCGCATTTTTGGCCTCGTACTAGTACCTAGTCCTTCTCGTACTTGGGCAATTTTTCGAGAAATTAATCTAAAATTTTGATTAATATTTAATTCCACTTCCCCTCTACGTTTTCTATTAATCCTCAATCAAATAAACCCCCAAACTTATTGCTTTCCTAACCATCCTCCAAAATAAGTTGATTTAGTTGTTGATCTCCTGGGTAGAAATTATTTTTTCAATATTTAATGTAGGTGCGTCCATCTTACCAGAGGTACGAAAGCACTCGTTATAGTTATCAAAGATTAATACCACGACAACGTTTATTGTTTGAAGAAACGTGACAGTTTATTTACTCAAAAATAAACTTTTACAGAAAACACAAAAAAAATATTTTTAGGAAAACGTTCTAGATCAATGCTCCGCACCAGGGATGGGTCGGGTTACCCGAAATACGACTCTTTTCGACCCGAAACCCGGCCCTAGGAAAATTTTGAAACCCCGATCTGAAACTCCCCTCAAAGAGCTCTGCACTCTCTCAACAAACTGGGATCACCCAAAAGAACATACCTCCCTAATCTCTCTAGAGATCAAACGTCGCTAGAAGACAGCTCCCTCGATAAACGACAGATCAATCGACACTAATTTTCTGCTAGCTTTTATAAGTAACTCCAACCTACATTTGTAAGATTTTACGGTATTAGTGGCTGCCGCGAAACGAAAATCAGAGAGGGATTTGCGAGAGTGTGAGATCTCATTCTCTCAAAGCACTTTTTGATTTGCAGATGTGGATTTCTGAATGGTGCTTTTAAAGCTTTTACAGGCGAGGCTATACCTGAACCGAAAATTCGGCCTAAACCACAACTAAAATTTTGACCAGACCGGAAAATCTAGTGAAACTCTACTTCAAAATACGGATACTTAAAAGTTTCAGCACACTCGTCTGTTCAACGTTGACATTTTTGAAGTTGATCTTCAGGGTAATTCGTCTTGGGTTTGATCTTGCTGGGTGTACCAGGCAATAATCTGCGATTTTTAAATTTTATTTTAATAAAAATTATTTGTTTAGCCATTTTTTCTATTAATTTTATAATTTTTTATTTAAATTATACCAAAAAAATTTTTATAGTTTGTAAAATTTATAATTTATTAATTGAAAGAATTTTTTGTTTAATATTCGGTCCCAATATTTAAAAAAATTAATTAATACTTCATCGATCAACCTCTGAAAATCACTCATTCCAATCTTAAAATCACACAAGATTATTGACTTATAAGTTCAACATGCTAGGTGTCAAAAGACAAGCGGGGAGCGTTTTAGACATTGGAGACGTCCGAGACTCTTGGTCTTGAGTCTTTATTCCAAGACTTTCTTGGGTTTTTTTTTCGGTCTTGGTCTTCGAAAATTTTCGATCTCGGACGTCTCTATTAGACATGTAGAATTCATCTTTTAAATTTGAATTTCAAAAAATCACCAACTAGGACCTTAATTTTGTATATTGACTAAATCGAGACATCGATCTATGTCTACATCAAGGATGGAGAGTTGAGAATAAAGTCGGGTTGGGTATTTCAAATTTTCTTCGAATCGTAATTCAAGTTGAAAAAGTCTGGGTTTTGAGTAACCCGTATTATCCCTTATCTAATTCTATATCTCATAAAACAATCATCTTAAGAAAATAAATATGCATAAAAAAACTTGCGGTGTCTGTGGGCAATTAAGAGGAAACGCGCTGAGCAAGACTGAAAAAATTACAAAAAAAATACAAATTTACAATGTTTGGTTATTAAGCTAAATTTTTCGAGATAACGATTCTAACAACGTCTATTCTTCGCATCAGTCCTCAGATCGGATATCGAAATTTTCAAACTGTTATGTTCTATAGTCGTTACAATTTTTGCTAGACACACACTACCTTTTTAAGCGCCCAGGCTGTATTATACAGGGGTTTTTTGCGATAGGTTGAGGTTGCCTAAGAGTACGGAATTTGTTTCGTACTACGGTACGTAATAGCGAAAAATACCTAGAAATACCCTCGGTATTACGGTACCGTCCGGACTCTTTATGACATTAAGTATCCGACGATTTCGATGCACACGATGAAGAGACTTTAAAAAGGAGTTGATGGGAAAATAGAAATGCGCGACACACAAAGATTCCCGGACTGGACACGCTCAAGTACAACGCAAAGCCATAACTTTCTAGAAGATTTCTGGCTCTTATCAATTTTGGTACCAATCTATTTAGCTCGATGAGAGGAATCGTTTAATACTGTAAGGAAGAGAAAGATCCAGCTGGCTAGCATTTAAAACGCTCACTAGGCGGGGGTTTAAGATCTATTAAAAAAGAAGGTGAAAGCAGCGTCCCGGTAGCTCAGTTGGTAGAGCACTTGTACTTGATGAGCGAAAGCGCCTAGCAATAACTGCCAGGAGGTCGCAGGATCGAAGCCTGCCCGGGATTAAACTTTTACCTCGCTCTTACTATACTAAATTTGTTAAGATTCAGAACTCTTGAAGCGAGTTATGGCTTTGCGTTGTTACTTGGACAGTACTCTCTCGGACAAGTCCAATTTAAAAATGTTAAATTCAAAACAAAAAAATATCTTCCAATATGAGTCGAATTTTATCTTTAAAAAAATTATCCCTTGAATATTATTTCAAAAAATTAATTTTAACACATTTTTTGACTAAAAAATAATAAAAAAATTTCATATCCTTTATTCTTTTATCGTTTCATCATTTTTAAATTCCTTCTCTTTTGTTGTTCAACACGTGGGGTTTTTAGTTTGTAAATCATCACAAGTTGTACAACCAACTATTTAAAATAAATTTAAAAATCAGAAAAAAAAATTGGAAAGTTTTTTAGGTAAATAAATCCGGGGAAGAAATTTGTGTATGCATAGCTGGATCAGAAACAAAGGTCGGTTTGATTTCCGATTTCCGAAAATTTAGGCTGATTTCCAATTTCTAAGTTCCGACATTTGAGCCATTTCCAATTTCCGACAGTTCCGAGTTCCGACAGTTCCAATTTCCGGAACCTTCGTCATTTCCGACCGACCTCTGGTCAGAAATGGCAAAAGATTGGAATTGTAGGGCAAAATTAGAAAAATCGGAAAGATATCGAAACTTTTATATGTTTGAGAGTATTTTTTAGTATATTTTTGACCAATGAAAAATATCTGGGAAACTTTGTATTTAAAAATAAATAATCTTTAGATTTAGTCAAAGACTGTCTAAACAATAGTTTAGTCTAGTGTTGTGCCTGAAGCTCTGGTTCCGGTAGGCCGGAAGTTCCGAGATCTTTTGGTTCCGGTTCCGGTCCGGCCAAATTTTGCGGTTCCTGCGCAACACTAATTTAGACCAAACAACGATAACGAAACTTCTGGTTCGAAAGTCATCTATCTAGTATATTTAAAGTGGTTTTAAGTCAACTAGCATATTTAATATTTTTAAAATATTTTACCAGTAAGCTCTTTCCCATTAAGATATTTGTCTGTGCCTGGTTTTAATTCCATGTAATTTGGTGCAGGTGTTTTATAATAAAAATGATGCTTATCAGGTGACGATAATGGAATTGCATTAACATTTGGGTTGACAAACATGCTGCCGCCTTAAATAATTTTTTATTACCCTCCGAATTTCGTGTTTTTGCGAAATTTCGTTTTTATGCGAAATTTCGTTTTTTTACGAAATATCGTTTTTTTTGCGAAATTTCGTGTTTTTGCGAAATTTCGTTTTTATGCGAAATTTCGTTTTTTTGCGAAATTTCGTTTTTTGTGAATTTCGTTTTCGTAAAATTTCGTTTTTTTTTCGGAAAATTTCGTTTTTTGCGAAATTTCGTTTTTTTTGCGAAATTTCGTTTTTTTGCGAAATTTCGCTTAACAATTTTTTGTTTCGTATTTAGTTTTATAGTAATTTTTCTTCTAAACTAGAAACAAATTATTTACTATGAGAATAAAACATATAGTCTAAATATCCAGAATTATCTTTAGTTGCAAAGTAACATTGTTTATTAACATTACCACAAATACAAATATCTGTGGGGCAAACAATTTTAAAAACGCTAATATTTGAATCATCATTTGGGTAGCAACGCTAAGAAAAAATTTTTTAAAAATTAAAATAAAATTCCTTTTTTTACTTTTGTACCATTTTTGTTTGAACAAAGTTTGTAAGAGCTTTGAGCTTTTATTCCTTGTATACCCTTATTTGTTTCCTTGTTTTGCAAGAAGGTTACCGCCCCTTGTTGAGCTTTACGGCATGTTGTTGCTTCTAAATTTTTTTATCTTAAGTAAATGGTATCCCCGCCCAGTGGCCATCCAATTTTTAAAAGGTTCACGATCAGGCTGTGCAAATTTTTAAAAAACGTTTTTCAAATTTTTAAAAAACGCCAAACGCCAAAAATCGGCCAAAAATGGACGCAAAACGCCATGACGCTCAGCCCTGGTTACAACAATCCCGGACGATATTTGTGAATTAAAATTTTTAAAAATAAGGATTTATTAAAGTTCAATCAAGATATCATTCAGAACCTGTCAGGATTAGGAAACGTCAACCAGAAACAGTGCTTGAACGCTCGTACCAAAATTCGTACTCGGTACGACGTACAAGTACCGAGCAAATGTAAAAATTTCCTAGCACTGTCAGGAACCCATGGTTTATCTAATTTTTGGGGTTATCTTATAGCGAGGCTTTTTTTTAATTATTTAATTATTTAATTAATTAAAGTACCATTAAATTCAGCAGTCATTAAGAAGACAATTAATGAAATAAAAATCATTTTTAATTAAAATTAATTTTTGATTATTTAAATTTTTTGAATTTTTGAATAAAATAACTTTTACCCAACGAGTATTTATGCATCTCTAAAGACAAATAAAATAAATTTATTAATTGCCAAAAAATATTTTTTAAGCAAATCTGAGCAAATAGATACAAAAAAGTAGAGAAAAAGGGAGAATAATATTTTAAAGAGTACCCAAAAGATCAACATTTTTTGAAGATCAACTGCTTATGGTGTGTTAGGTAAAATGATAAGCTTTTGGTAGGGCTTTAGTAAGCTTTCTGAATATCGACAATCAACCAACATATTCTTAGCCTTCAGCAGCACTGTAATAAACCTCTAATCGAACGGCCGACCGCCCTATTTATCAATCTTCCCTCAAGAAGTCCCTCAGAAATCACTC